ATCAAGCATTCTACACCAGAAACACAGTCCTGCTGACAGCACCAGAGCCTTATATAGCCTACATATTGAAGTAATCATTTGGCCGGTGACCACCTCAGCTCTACTGAGCTTCCAAGTCTCCGGTCTCTTTCTCGAAAGTCTGTCAAAGGGAAGAGAGTGTTTCGAAGTTCATGGACTGTATCTCTTACAAAAAAGCATTGGTACAACTAATAATGATTTCGTATAGACGCTAAAACAATATCCACAAAAACGGCTCATAGAACAAATGTTATCGCTTCTCTGCATAGCACCACTCGGGACGAAGCGAGTCAAGGCGGTTGCTCCACTTTAAAATAGTTATTTTGCAATTCTTTACTGGTTCAATAGGGTCAATAATGCCACGATAGTCATTTACAAAGTAAGAACGGCAGGGCGTATTTTTCGAACGCCTGGCCCCCAGCACGCGCCCCATGCCTTCCGTCGTGCTTTGACTGTGCAGTCGAGCTCGAAGGGCGCAAGACGTCGAGGATTTGTCAAGGATAGAAGGCTCGCACTGCAGGCAGGAGAACGGAAGCTAATCCCTACGGTTCTCAACTTGTCAGAGACTATTGAGAAACTTAGTGACTTTTGACATTTAGTCAAGATGTATTCTGTTCAATAAAAAGTCAACAGAAAGTCTGTAGCTTTTCTTTTGACACTTGCTACAGAAAGTCAATTGAATAATTTAAACACGAAGTAAATAGAACGTCTGCAGTATTTTTGATAGCACTTTCAACAGGAAGTCAACAGAAAAAGATTCAACGTAGAGTTAATAGAAAGTCAATAGCTTTTCTTTTGACTCAGGCAGAAGAAAATCATAAAAAAATTTCAACACAAAATCAACAAACTTTCTGTTGACCATGTCAACAGGAAGTCAGTCAAAAGAAAGTAATCAAAGTGAACACGAAGTCAACACATTTCAATAAAAAGTAAAAAATAAAAAAACATCCGTCATATCGGACCCCGCACACGACCGCAGACCAAATAAAATAATAAAAAAATGTCTCTTTTTATAAACTATTATAAAGAAATAATGTCAATAAGTTTTATTTTTTATTTTTAAGAAAATAACCTACAAAAAACGTCCTTACAACTTCTTTTTTTTTTATATAAATAAGTCTACAAAACATCTATTGTTTTTCCTTTTGAATTTTTTTAGAAGATAACCTACAGAAAAACGTCTTTACAAGTTCTTTTTAATTTTTTTTATAAATAAGTCTACAAAACAAAATCTATTGTTTTTCCTTTTGAATTTTTTTAGAAAATAACCTACAGAAAAACGTCTTTACAAGTTCTTTTTAATTTTTTTATAAATAAGTCTACAAAAAAAATCAATATTTTTTCTTTTGAAAGTTGTTTGACAATAGTCAAAACAAAGTGCGTTTATAAAGGAATTCAGTACGATCGCGGAAAGTCAATAAGAAGTCTAAAAAAATTAAAAAGAATGTTGAGACCCGTTTTTGTAAGGGCCAGTCCTGAAGGTTGCGGATGCGTGGATCGAGCTGCTCGATCTTTTTGGCTTCCAATCCAAGAGGAGCTGATAGATCGTTGGGCTGATGCCATCAGAACATTTACCGGTGTGCCCCGATTGTTCCTCGTCCGTCGGCGCTTAATTGGGTAAATGGCCTCTATGCCGCATGTTGTTACGCCATCTGGCGAATACGTCCTCCCTAAGTGAAGCTCCAGTGCGGGCTTAGCGTATCAGCATTTGGCCTCTCAGGGTATACGCTTGGGTAACGCCGCGAGGTTGTGAAGTATCAGCTTTCTCGCACTGTCGCTTGAGCCACCCTCTGTAGTTTCGTGGCCACGGCGACCGCATCTTTCCACACTGCTACTGCCTTCCGGAGGGTGTCCCAGTCCCGAATGGAGCGTGCTCGCCCGGCTCTGCTGCCTGCTGGGAGCGGCAGCCAGATGGGCAGTCGTCGGATCCCATAGGGTCCGATTCGCACCGCCAATCGATCACCAGGCTTGAGTCCGCTAAGGTCTGGTCCAGGGTAGTGTCCCTCTGACTCTCGTGTAGCTCGTGGCGCGTCGGGTAGGTGAGGTCGTTTGTCGAAGTCGGGTACGCCATTTCTGTTGCCCCCTAGAGCCGTTCGCCGTAGGATGCCCCCGTTAAGGTTGTGCACGTTGGAATCACCTACCAGTAGCCGTTAAAACCCAAAAACAAAGTTTTTTTTTTTTTTTTTTCGGGCTAGACGAAGTTTTTGTTTTTATAAAACTTCGTACCACTTAGAGTGAATATCCACAAATACGAAGAACACTCCTTTGGCATGGCCCCGACAGTACGTCTCCTTATTCGAATATGAAAGATTTTCATTTGCCCTCAGTCCGATTTAATGCCTAGATGGTTAGACAGAGGGAAACTAGAATGACACCCAATGTCTCTCTGCTGTATAGATAGCAATTAGCTAGTGCAGGGCGAAATAAAACTTTTTTGGGCTGAGTCAAACCTTATACGGGTGACTCGTGGCGCAGTGGAATACAAACAACATACTCTAAATACCTCGAAAAGCCTTAAACAATGCTTTAAAGTAACGAAGCACAGAACCACGCCAACAAAATGAGAGGCGGGGGTGAGCATGTACAAAGACAATTATCCGATTTTCACCATATGAGTGCTCCCTCCTTAAAAGTACCGTTTTGTGTTTTGGCGTTAACACTCCTTTGCACTGGCATTATGGATAGTCGATGAGCTCCACACCAGATATTTTACTTCCGGAAGAAGTGTCGTCTTCATTCAATTCGATGACGATGCACTCGATGTGAGCACTTGTGGCACCACCTTGTTCGAAGTTTTTTCCACTTCAGCTTCTCTTTTGAAGAGCCTGTCTACGTCACCCCTTTTCAATGTTGTGTTCCGGGCTGCAACACCGTTCTTAATTTGTGGCCAAATGAGCTCAGTCGGATTGAATTCAGATAACATGGTGGAAGTCTGACTACTGTGCAGCAGCCGCCTCTGTAGAATTGTCCACAAGGTACCTTACATGCTGTGACTTGACCGACGCCACAATGTCGAGGAGCTTCTTGGGGTCCCACGCAATTCCCTTCAAAGTGAGCCACTCCTGGATGACCTCCTTGTGGTAATTCGTCGTCGGCACTGCTTGTGATCGCCAAGAACGGTACAAAGCATCTTCCAATACGACGATACTCCCCATCGGCAGTATTTGAAGAACACCATAGAATCGATTTTCGAACCGGGTGCCATCTATTTTCTTGTTTTCGTCGCCGATTTTGTTGTCGTGGGAGACGTCCAGGCCCCCAGCGATGACGCCGTCCTCGCTTCCGATGTGCGTGATGATGAAGCGTTGGCCCTTCCCCGACGGCTGCTTCAGGCGCGTCGTGAGACTTCGCATGAAGGCATTGTGGGACGAGTTTACGTTGCTGTTCTCCCACGTGATCGAGACAGCGTGCACTGCCGTCATTCATGTCCCGTGCAGGTAGAAAATCTTGCAACCCTCTTGGCTGTGACGTGCAATGACCCGCAAGTACGTCTATTGGCTCGCGACGATGTCCTCTCGTTCGATCATGTCATAGTTTTGACCCCTCTTTTCTCGCCTAAAATCAATGTCACGGAGTGGGCGACGCACAGTCCACTTTTTCAGCAAAGGGAGTTTAAAGCTTGCTCTCAACACCGCCGTTATCTTTTCGTCCGTAGGCAACTTGTAAGAAAAAAAAAAAAAAAACGATGTGCGCACGATCTCAACGCACATAGCACGAAGTCGCCGTACTTGATGGTACGCCGCGTCTCGCCTGCAGTTGCTGGGCGCTTCCGGGCAGGTGTCGCAACTTTCGCATCATTTGCCTTTGCCCCCTTTCTCATCTCGAGGACGCTCAATACGCTGACAGCAAGCAGTCCGCCGACGGCCTGGCATATCTCACTCGCGATGAGGTCGGGCTCCGTGTGTCGTACCCAAATGTAAGCGTTCAGGATCAGCTGCCGTCGACGCTTTGTACCCGCGCTTTGGTGTAGCCGATGTGGCCGTACCAGGCTCTTTCTACGAATAAGAATCCGAAGAATAGCATTCCGCAGCTCTCTCGTTCTGATCCATGGCGGAAGACAACGACGGAGACGGACATCGGCCAATTTGTGAGTCACTGATTCGTCTGAACCCGAAAGGCAAAAGGATTTCTGCTCAATGAACCAAATAAACATACACCATTTGCCTACAAAGTCACGTGAAGAAGAAACACGAATGTTTTATTAATTACAAAACTAGAATAGTCGTTTTTTTTTCAAGAAAAGTCTTTTTTTTTTCTTCAGCAGAAAGCGCTGGAATACAGGGCTTCTAGACAGCACTTTGGAATGGAAGTCAGTTGGAAAACGGGTTATTAGACAACGTCTTTCTATTAACAATGAACGCCTCATTCGAAAATAGAGAATTCTAACTCCTTTAGTTGCAATGAATGAATTAAATGAATAAGGTAGTTGCCTAAAATAAGTTTTCTGGGGAGGAAAACAGCGGCGTTGCTAGGGGCTATTTCTCGACGGCGGAGGCACTTTAAGCGGGAGCATCACGCACCTTAACTAGTCACTGACTATAGCTATGACGCCATCATGACCAGTCCGTCTTTTAGGTCGACTTCATTAAAAACCAATAAAACCAGGAAAATTCCTTCAAACATGATGTAGAACGTATCCTAAAACAAGTACTAACACATATATGTTTTTCTTCTTTCACAGCAAAGCAAAAAATTTTAGACAGAAAAGCGCGGCGTATTAAAAAAGTTTATTTCGCTTGAGTATGAAGGAAGCTGAATATAACCTTCTAGTCGGTCTTGGAACCCTTGTATAGCTATCGCGACATAACGGTCAGTTCTTTTTCGTTATAAACTTTCCGAAAAACGTGTTGCACGAGGTCATCGTTTTCGATTCCCAATAAATTGTTTCGAGGAATGCACTTTATTTAAAATTCAGAAAGTGATATCAAAGTTGTTGAGGTGCCGATATATATATATATATATATATATATATATATATATATATATATATATATATATATTAAGTCTCTTTACGTCAGGCATGTTGAATTGTACACCTCGTATATTTCTCCTTCGCATATCGTCTTGTAAATACCAAGGCATCCCTGGACAACATCATTCGAAGCGTTTCTGTACGCCCACAGCTGGCATTCTGAAAAATCAAAACGGGAGATATAGAAAGTAACCTTTTTTGTAAGCCCGTAAAAGAGGGGGGGGGGGGGGGGGTTTAGAAAAATACCCTTTTCACAAATCCCTTGACTACATGCCTCATTAGCCTTAAGGCGAAAAGCACGACCCCTGGGTATTGTATTGGAGAACATTATTAAAATGTGATTTTTCTAAAGGTTTCTAAGAGTGCATATTTTTAAATTATGAAGCCGTCCCCAGGGACCCATATCATAACACGTATGACTTAAATCCTACGCATTGAAATGAGGGGTATAAACGTATATATATTGTGCTTTACTTCGTAAATATTTACGATCAAGTAAGGTAGGTTAATCAACGTAAACATCTATGAACACCAGTAAATCATTGTTTAAACATTCACCCGTTTTATGTTTAGAATACTGACCTTGCCATGCTCTGATCAGCTATTTCGTCTAGTTCTGTCTTTTTTGTGCATCATTTTTCAGATCAACGCCCAGTCGGCAAAAATATGTTTCTTGTAGATAGCTTGGGTAATATTTATTTATATACACACTTTTGCTATAACACACCTTTTCAAAAGAAATAATTGTTTATAAGCCTAGCCAAATTGATGCCGTGACAACATGCATTGTTTACATAATTTGCCCCATTTATATTAGTAGGTCAGAAAGAAGAGTTGAAATAGATAATAAGATAATCACAGATAATCTTTCAATTGTGTGAATAGTCATGCTCAAATATGTAAGATCTAGTAGAAGCACTGAGTTGTGCTCGTAAGGTATATAATACAACCTATTGAAATTATGTGACTCCTATGAATAATAATCTACAATTTAACATCAAAATAACCATCCTCACATCAAATATACTTTTTTTTTTGTCGATGAGGGAGACACAGATAAGTGTAAGGTGTGGAGATGGCTTTCTACATATATTACCTGTCAGATGTTACATAATCGGCATTATTTGCTTCCTAAAATAACTTAAAACGGCTTGGTTAAGACGACTTCAAAAACACGAAAGCCTAAAAGCTACGAACGTCGGTCGCAAGTTAAAAAAAACTACATTTATTTTTCGTCCCTACATGTTTTATTAATTCGTGTATTTCAAATGTTTTTTTGTTTCCACTTGTCTTTTTTTGTGAAAAAGCAATAGCCTAATCGAAAAGATATGGCGCACTACAGGCGACAGTAGTTTGCCTCTTTTGTTGGTATACTAGGTGTAAAAGATATGGTGATTGTCTTGAAGCCCCTATAGAGGCACTGATTACCACTTTCCGCGATAGCTTATTTATGGTCATAACTCAATCAATGGGCTGTAAGCATCGTAAAAATACGCAAGAGGACCCTAAGGCTTCTTTAAGAGTGGAACGCGATAGCTAAATATGAATGCATGGTCGTTCCCCCGCCGTGAAAGCGTGTCTGCGTGGCCTAAATATATATAGAAAAAAGTGTCCGCGCGGCCTAGTCGGTAACGTTCGAATACCGCCCGCCTAAATTGCTTCAAATGTTTTCATTAAGGCAAATGAATTACTTTATAAAAAGAGATGGTTTGAGACACGCGCGAGGCAAGGACATCATGACCATGTCTACGGTATAACGGTCCAGCCGACGCCAGCTTTAATATCAAACAATACAATCACGTTGGCAATGATACTCCCCGGACAACGCGAACGAAGAACAAACAAAGATCTCCAAACTCAGCTAGGTGACTAATACGTGATCGAAAAAATCCGCCTGGCCCGGGTATCGAACCCCGGACCTCTCCATTTCCAGTGGAGCGCTCTACCAACTGAGCTAACCCGAGGTTAGACGTCATAGAGCAAACGGGTTTTATCAGCTGCCATAGAAACACCAACAAGGGTGAACGGCCAGCATTATCAAGGTTATGATTAAGATGCAATTAATGCAAAGGTGCAAGCGAGCTGGACAAGTATGGCAGTGTCATGGTTCTGTGGAACGAAGAACGTGAAGGACGAAGTGACGGGGGCAAAAAAAAAGGTGCGTGAAGAGCACGAGCCGCGACGTTCGGCAGCTGCTTGAAGAATCTGGCCGGCAGTGTCCCGGTATCGACGACCTGAACCAGAACCCGCCGCTACGCAGGGTGTGAGGACAACAGCGGAGGCATGAACATCTACGCCACCACAACACCGTCCCTGGACCGAACGTCTACAGAAGCCAGGAACCGAGCCTCGTCACAACATATGCCGGTGAATCTCTAGGACGATAGCCCCGTAGTTCGAACTGCGTATTTCTTTCTTGTTACTTTACTTGTAGTCTTATTGCATTTTGTTTCCTTCCATAATGATATTTCTTTTGTGTGTGCAAATATATGCCTTGGTTTTTTTTCTAACTCTCTGTCTCCCGACCCTTTTCTTACCAACCCCGGACGAGCCTGTGACAGGCAGTAATAATCCCTGGAGAAGGGGAACAAAAGGGACGAAGGACAACACATCAGTCACCTAACTGTGTTTGGAGATTTGTGTCAGTCCTTTGTCCCCTTTGTTCCCCTTCTCCACGAATTATTGTTGCAATTCATGTCCAGCTCGCTTGCACCTTTGCATTAATTGCATCTTAATCATAGTCTTAATAACGCAGGCCGTTCATTCTTTTCGGTAGTACACAAATGGCAGCTGGTAAAACCCGTTTACTCAACTGACGTCTAACCCTGGTTAGCTCATTTCGTAGAGCGCTCCGCTGGAAACGGAGAGGTTCCTGGTTCGATACCCGAACCAGGTGGATTGTTTTCGGTCGCGCATCAGTCACCTAGCTGTGTTTGGAGATTTATGGGTGTCCTTTGTCCCCTTTGTTCCCCTTCTCCAGGGGTTATTATTGCCATTCTTGTCCAGCTCGCTTGCACCTTTGCATTAATTGCATCTTAATCACATTCCTGTTGGCCGAGATCTCAAAAGATCGATAACCTAGGAACAATCGCTGAAGCCAAGTGGCGCCGTTCCACGAGGAAGGGCAAGACTCTGTCCTCGTCCGATGGCGCCATCTGTTGTCGATATTTTCATACCGTTTGTTTTAGGACGCTTAGAGCACAGATATAGTGAGTTGTGACCATAAATAAACTATCGCAGAAAGTGGTGCAGTGCTTCTTCAAATTTGTTAATTTCAGAGATCAAACCAAGACCTTTTGAAGTTATTTCTCTTATGGCACTTCACAATCGTCTTTTGCAACAGTTATCACATAAATGCTTTATTACTTTTTTAAATAATTCTCTTCCTGGAGTAATCACCTAATTAGAAACAATCGAAATACTGCGAACGCATGTAAATATAGATAGCTTGCTTTCGTTAATGAGTAAATGTCCGAAGTTGTCATTTCCCTTTTTCGTTTTGCTCAGCAAACTGCTGTCGGATTTTATATTATTTGGCACGGATTCATCACCCTACTAGATCTGTAGTATGAAAATATATAAAGCGAAATTATTATTGGCGTTGCCTAAGATCAGCGTCTCAGGTGGTTTCTTACCTTGTTGCTCTATATTAAAGAAGATGGTGCAGGTGCCAAAATCTGAGTACAATATCACGGACTGTGATACCTTTTCTCCACCTGAGGTGAAGCAAACGTTCTGTTAAAACACAAAAAACTGAATATGCTTTAATTTAAAGTTCTCACAAGCCTTACATCCAGAGTGTTTTCTTTTTAATTTGAACAGGTTAATCACAAAATGTCTATAAAGGATAACTAATTCTGGTTGCAAAGGTGAGTTATAGGGTGAGGGAGAGATAATACAGGCTATTTTTTATTCAAAACAGATTTTAAAAAAAAGGAGCTTTTACTGCTACGTGAATGCCGTCTCACTATATGTTTCTTGAACTCGGCGGACATTTGAGGGGCGTACAACCGTCAGAGCCTGGTGAGTATTTAACTAAAATTGATTAATTGACTTTTTAATTACTGGTTTTATGGGCCATGTTTCGATGGAAATTTTGAAGACAGCTACCCTGAAAGGCTAGACCAACGGACACAATTTTAAAAATAAAATATAAAGAAGCAACTTCGTTTGGAGATATCCGTCGACAATTTCTCTCCTTTCTGCCCACCGATTTTTAAACTGAAAGTTCTAACTGGGACGGAAGGGTACTGACCCGCGACGCTTGTAGAAGTGCCGGTAATAGCAAAAACTTCTTTGTTATATTGTTTCATTTCCTTTCGTTACTTTGACCGGCAGAGCCAGCGTTCTTGCGCCTCTGCTATCTGGCGAAGCGCCTTCCGCGCCGAGAAAAAACGAGAGTTAAGCTCCGAGGGCTCCGAGAGCGCTAACTAGTGTCCCAGCGAGTTTGCATACCACGAGCCGCACCTTGACAGCCGCGGTGCCAATATGAGATCATTACGATTTAGATGTCATAAAACCGTCACTTCTACAAGCGTCACGAGGCCAGAGCTTCCGGCGCAGTTGGAGCTTTCAGTTTCGGAATGGGAGAATAGACAGGGGTGAAATTGTCGACACACATCTCCGAACCCTTTCCCTTTTTTTTTTAACTGTGTAAGTTGGTTAAGTATTCTAAGGCGGCTGTCTTCAAAGTTACACTTTCAACGTGACCCATAAAACCACTTATTAAGAAGTTTATTAGCCAGTTTAAGTTAATTACGCAGCAGACGGACGCTTGTTCGTCCCTCGAATGTCTGCCGAGCTCAAGAAACATAGTGTAAAAATGGCGTCCACGTAACAAAAATAGGCCTTTTTTAAAAAAAGCAGTTTCGAGTAGAAAGTATCACACTGCATAGTTTGTTCATTTTCATGATTAAGTTGAATAATTAAGTAAAATGTTTAATTTAAGTGTTTATTAGGGAAAGTAGACTTGTGATTTCAATGCAAAAATTGGTGAACATCATTGGAAACCACTAAGTCCGTTCATATTCAAACACATTAAAGCACGTGAGAAACGCAGGGGTGCTCCAAGTTATCACTCGTGCAGCAGGCGCAAAGCTAGCAGTGGGAATATGCCGATGCTTGAATTATTATTCGTATTTCCACACCCCTAGCTTTACGTCTGTTACGCAAATGGTAAATTTGATGCCCCCGCCCCAACTTCCGACGTGCTTCTTAGTCGTTTTCAAATTGACTGATTTAGTGGGTTTCGACGCTGCTCATCAAGTATCTAATTGAAGCCATATGCTAATTTTGATTAATTAAAACATTTATTATGAAATTTTATTACATCAAGCCCTTTGCTGCCATCACTGTCGACGTATATAATGTTCCTCTGACCGTATAACTCACCTGCAGAAACGGTATAAGTGTATCTTTTAAAACAATCTTCTTTGTAATGAATATTCTCGAGCTAAAATCAAACTGTATAATCATGCCAAGTGCGAACTTTACAACACATTGATTAGATTTTCTGACAGCGCATTCGGCCTGCAATGCAAATTTTGTAATTGCTGGTTTTGTTGGAATCTAAGAATGATTTACCCTCACTATTTGCCAATATCATTGTGCTAACCTTGGGTTTCATAGCTATGTCTTTATAGAAAAAGACTGGAAACAATTTGCATATATTGAAGAATTGTAAAAATGATACACTTGATTCTGATTTGTATTGACACGCAATCGAATGTATTAGCCTTTAATATGTTACCTTTTTTTCCAAAGTGCGCATACTGTTGTGCTAATGATGCTATTCTACGAAGAAAACATTTCCTTTGAATTTTTGCTTGCCTTATATCATCTGCGTGTAATTAGTGATCAATGTCATTTTATTAACTTCGCGTGTTCCTGTCGATTAAAAATCAAAAAGCATATTAAAATATGTGTTCATGTAAAATGGGGAAGGTATGGCGCAATACTATTTCACTCACTTGTCTCATTATATACCGCTACGAGGCCCTCGCAGTTTTCAACTTTCGTGGTGATGGGATCATTGTAGCTGAAATAAACAAAAAAAACGAAAACAATTATTTTCTTAACTAAATAAATCTAACTTATTCGCTATGGATCAATTTTGTTTATTTAAATGAAATCAATATGATTTAAATCATAGCTAGAAAATAGCTAATCTTTATGAGTATAAATGTATTTTAAAAGAGCCAGCTTTAATCGTCAATCTGTCCGAGCGCTGCAAACAACGTGAAAAAAGAAATTACTTGACGATTTTTTCTCGCATCGTGCAAAAAAAAAAAACTAGGGGTCCTCAAAAATTTAGGAAAAAAAATTTTTCTTGGTGGGTAACTGGTGACTAGAGCAAAGCTAATTAGTATGTATATGACTCGAATGTGACCATAGTTATGATATTTGAGCTCCTGTACCATTTTGTAAAAATGGGGCGTTACTTGGTATGAATTATGATTTAAAAATATCTCATGTACGTGTTCAGTTTACTTATAAAATCTCAAGATTTACTAATTTTCTTTAAAACATCTTTTAAGGATTTTTTTTTAAATTTAACTAGGATACAAATTAAATCTTATACTCCTTTATGTACGACAATGAAGCACATGAGGCGAGAACAATTATTTAACAAAAAAGCAGCAGGACGAGTGCGAAATTTTGTGCTTTTGTGCGACCGCATTTTCACGTATACTGACAAGAAATCAATAAACAATCAGTCTTTATTCGGCTTCAGTAAAACAGTGAAAATTCCGCAGTCATATCTGGATCACTAGCCTATTTGGCTAGTTATCAATCCTACCTATGTAAACATAAATAGAGAATGGGGGTTTATCCTCGCACGGCACCCTTTTGCCGCACAAATAAAGCTCAACAGATCATATTTCGTTTTCATTGCATTTTTAAAGCGTGTTTTTTTTTTAGAGTTTGTGTAAATGATCTCCTTTTCTTATGTTCGGGCTTAATGAAATCCAAAATTGTGTACCCTTATACTCCATTAACCGTTTACCACATGCATCGTTATAGGGTTGAGTATTAAAATTATCTACTATAACGTTTCTCGTGAGTCTACTTGATTGGATAGATACAAAGGATTGGATACGTGTATTATTTACTAAAGATTACCTACTTCAACTACTTTTTATTGTCTAGATAATAAATGGCATTGTTCGTTATTTTTTTAATAAAGGAACTCAATGAGCGTTAAAACTAGATATGATATAAACAGTGCTCGCTTCTGGAGCTTGGCTACTGGTTGTAAATAAGTTTGATACGTGAATGCCCATAATTTTACACAATAATAACAATAATATAGACGGCTACTAAAAATACTGTAGTATATTAATCTTAACGTTTTCGAGTCAAAATACTGCCTGGTTTTAAGTAAAGGGTAAATGGAATATTCAATTTTTTACGAAATGTTTCAGTGTGCGCTTTTCAGTTGAAAGAAACATCAAGTCACTCCTAGTTACCTAATCTTTTCTACATTGGGAATGGACTTATATCTCAGTTTGCGTACATTTCTTGGCGTGGTCTTGCATGGGGAAGTGAACACCACATGGTTGGTTTTATGGTGGCTTAGTTATAGCTTATTTTGTATGAACATGTTCTCAATCTGTTTAAGTTCGTGATTAATTGCTACTTCCAATACATGCCAAGAGTTTTCGTATACAAATAATATTGTATCATCTGAGTACATTACTGCATGTAATCTGCTCATAGCTTTAGGCGAATCGTTTCCTTTAACTTTAACCCTTTAACTTGTAGAGTACTGATCCCAATATGTACTAGATCAAAGCGTGACGAAAAATAGCTGTTAAATATAAAAAACACAGAACCTGCATTTTTTTCCTATTTTTCCGATTAATATTTTTTATCAGTGGTATGGGAAGCATTTCTATATAAAAATGTCAACTGCTATTTGATTGTTGTTTATGGGCGAGTTGATGAATTGGCTTACATCTAAGACTGCTGTACCAGTTGATTTGTATTTCTGAAAGCCCTGCTGCTCTCCTGCTGTAATGCTATTTCGGGCTAAACAATTAACTACACTTGGTACTGTTTTTTTTTTTCAAATATAGTGTTGATATTGCTTAATACCGAAATGGGTCGGTAGCTGGACAGTTGGTTTTTGTCTTCGTTTTTGTATATTGGTATAACTCTTGCTACTTTTAGATTGTGGGGTAAGTACCGCTAACAATCAATCAATCAATCAATCAATCAATGTTTATTTTTCTCTTGTGCTAACCAACAGCTCGAAAGCCTATTGGGTTAAGCACACACAATTGAAATACACACAAAATACAGAGTAGAAAAAATAAAGAGTTGTGAAAAAATAATATGCAAGCACACAAACGTGTATATATGCCAATTGAAAACACATGCATCAAAATGATCGTTCTCCAAAAGACAGGTTTGTACTAAAAATATCGATGTCAGTAAATTGCGTGTTTAAAACATGTTGGATACGCGAAACCGGTGATGCGTTTCGAATGAGGTCTGCGTAAAAGACTCTAGGATATCTAGAGTTCGTTCTAAGTGGAATGCGAAAGTGAACAGAGGTGAGGAGAGTAGGCCTGTCTGTTGCAGTATGAATTAGCCTATGTAAAAACTGAACATCCCGAATAGACCTTCTTTTACCTAAGTTGCCCAATGTTAATTTTGCTAAAATAAAATGATATTCATAAAAACACTTTCTTCCAAAATATCTGTCGTAAATGATGTGCACAAATCGCTTTTGTACATGTTCTATACTTTCACTTGCTGTTATAGATATGCAGTTTCAGACTACATATGCAAATTCTAGTTCCGAACGCACATGGGTACTATATAATTTCAAAAGACAGTGATGAGTGATAAATGGTCTATTTAAGCGAGACCCTATTCCCAGCCTGCGCAATCACTGGCTAATAATGGAGTTTACTTGAGAAATGAAAAAAAGGTGGTCGTCCACAAGAACACCTAGGTCTCGCATCTGCGTGGTCCGACAGATCGTTTCATTTTCCAGAACATATATATAGGATAAATTGTGACGCCTCCTCGACAGCGGCACGACTTTTGTTTTGAGCGGATTTAAGAAAAGATAGTTAGAACTGCACCATTCTACCACTGAACGAAGATCGTCCTGCAGCGAAGTACAGTCAGTGACTGAGGTGACCTCCCGAAACAACTTCACGTCATCTGCGAACATAAGTAATTGAGAGTGTTTTACGGACGGCACCAAATCATTTATAAAAATAAGAAACAACGAAGGTCCAAGGTTTGAGCCTTGAGACACTCCTGACATAGAAATGAATGGACAAGACAAGAAGCCAGATACCCTTACACAGTTCTGCCTTTCATGAAGATAACTCCTAAACCAGGTATTGTACTCAGGACTCAGGCCATAGTCCCTAAGTTTCAGGCTTTGGACATATCCAGATATATTGCGTCTACTGTAAAATGCATGTTTAAATATTTTTTCTAGTGTTTTCTAGAAAGTTTTTTGTGTTTTAGTTTTAGTTTCTAGTGGTAGTGATTGATTAAATATTATCCTGATTCATATGATAGATACACCATCGTTCCCGAGCACCGTACCCTCTGACATTGTTTCCACCATTGTTATGATGTCTTTACTAGTTATATCACTCAAAGTAAAATAATGTAGAATTGGGCTTGCAGCGCGGTTTCTGTTGGTTCTTCGAGAGTACCTGCCAGTAAACTACCTATCGTGTAGAAATATTGATTACATTTACTTGAAACGTCACCTCGATCTTCACTGCCAGCATCCCGAAGTTTTGGCAGAATTGGACTTCGTACAGATAGTTTAGTTATACAGTTTAAATGAGACCATACTTGTTTTGTATCCCTCGCCAAAAATTTGAAGACACAGTCATTGGGATGATAGGGTTGAGTCATAGTCGTGGGGGACTAGCTCTGGTGAGGATATTCTAATGCGGCGCATAGATTGAACACGAGCTTTGCGTGTCCAATCCCTGTGATTAAACACAAACTCCGACTTGCTCGGGACACCTATCGCCCGAAAAGCGCGATAGGCGCCGAGATAAGCTCCGCGATGGGCGCCGCGATAAACGTCAACTTGTTGAGGTAGCGCGATCCCGTCCATTCATTTGCCTATCTTTTTTGTTCGAGAAAGCGTAATTAAAGATATATCCTTTTCATGTTGTATTTTTTTATATTTGTAATAGTGATCGTTCCTTAAATAAAAACTAGAAATATTCTTGAAAAAACAAAACAAAAAAGAAAACCGAGTAAGAAGTGAATTCTAGTGTATTTTCGTCCTATGAATTTGCATATCATGAGCATTTGAGTCGAACATATTTATAGGCGCAAGAAGAACCGAAAAACCAACTGCTGGATGTGACGTCATACCCAGAAGCTTCAGCGGCCTTGCGCCTGCCGCTTTTGAGGAAACGCTTGGAGCACTTTTGACTGCTCGGGTAGGTTTACGAAAAGCACGGAAATGTCGAGCTCTCTGCATAATACGTAACGATTCCCTCCTCGTAACGAACGCGATGGGAAGGAGGGGCTTCAGCGCTATTTTGAAAGCGCTAACTTCGATATTTTTATTCGTGGAGGGCAAATGAAGTGGATTTAGGAGTGTTTTTCTCAAAAAAGCAGAACCGCTTCATTTTTCCTTTAAATAGAGTTGGCGATACAAGGTCAAAGGAAATTTTAATGTACCAGACATTGTTTTTACACCAACAACAAAAAAAGTCACCATAAATTCGGAATGTCTGACTCAGACATGAACGGTCAAATACAAGACTACGCCGGCAAATTGATATCACCAAGCAATGAGCTGCCAAATAAGTTTATTTTCCAAGCTCAGGACACCTATCTATTGAATCTGGGTGTACTATATTGAACGATCCTTCCGTGGTAAATATCATGAATACTCGATATATTATAGACCCGACTTTCTACTTCGCGAACAAAATAGGCTCTCGAAAAACCTGAAAACTATCCAGAAGTTGTTTATTTTTTTCAATTTTCCGTTTTCTCTACCTTTGTTTCAATCCCCCTAAAAATCTGCCTATGTTTTTTTGTTTTTTGTTTTTTTCCACGACATTTTATAAGCAATTACTTCGAACAGGAAACTCTAAGGAAGTGATCTCACAAATATTGAATCACATTAATTAGGAGTTATTTCTGAGTGATAACATAAAACGTGTGAGGTACTTACACGAGAGGAAGGTCGTTGATTTGGTATATGAAGTTCCCACGTACGGACATTGTACTGCTGTCTTCACTATTCTGCGTTACGTAAGTGCACACAATCACAGACGCATCAAAGCTGGTGTACAGCATGTGCCCTTCATCTGCAGACTGCAATGCCTATAAAAATAGAGCAGCAATAGTTAGGCCACAGATACTGGTCAAATGCGCTGGCTACTTTCCCACGCAAAGGAAATACATCAGTTCACAGAAAAAGAGGAAACCATATACCTACCTTCCATGCTAAACGGCCTCTCGGGTCAGTACAGTCATTCGCTTCTTGCGCCCCAATAAAAAGAAAGGAAGAGATAACGACTGTTGCGACGAACAGTATTAAGGTCATGTTTTATCAGTTTTAGCTCAACGAGACCAAGAACAAATGGCACTTTGATCAGCGGTCTTTTTCAGGCTGCAACGGTACAAGCGTTCAGCTGTCTGCACTCCAAGCGGTCACCGCAGCTCATATATAGGCTCTTCATTCCAAAATTATAGGTAGGCTCAATCTCAGTCAATAACCTTCATATGTTTTCCGCGCATGCTTATCTTTTTCTTCCTCCCAGTTTCCATGAAGTTAATTGCGAAATACTTTTTTTTTGTTTATGGTACAAGTTAATGAAAAGTATTAGATTGGATGTGTTTCACCTTCAGGGGAGGATATCCGCTGCAGCAGCGGGAGCGGATGTCCTTCGCAGTACTGATTAAACGATGTTTTTTTTTTTTTTTTTTTTTAAGTTCGCAAAAAGTAAAATTTTAGGCGGGATGGAGGGAGTCGTTTTTGCATATTTTTCGCCCATCGGGTCGCAAAGCAAGCTTACCTCTGTACTACTCAAAAAAAGAATCTAGATGGCATTTGACGATATATTTGTATAAGCTATGAGGGAATCGCCGCTCGAAAATAATGCAGTTAACCCAATTAAAAGAACAGCCACAAAATATTGAACTTTTTATCCGGGTAAATGTCTAGCGCCGCAGTTGTTCTTTCAAGTGTCACTTAAATAGTCTTACATTAGTCTAATAGTAAACTACGATGTTACTAATTTGTAACTTCACTGCACGTAGAAGCAGACAGCAATTAACGCTCAAAATAGGCGAGTAAGATTATTCAACATAATAAAAACAATACACAAAAGTACCAATCTTACCGGTGTTTATTACCGAAGTTGCTGAATTATAACGCCGAGGAAATATACCCAAATAACGACCTTGCTTCAAATATTAAAAAACACTTTGCGGTTCCAATATAAGGGATTGAAATTGATGCGGGTTACTTTGTGCGATGTGTCTAACGGATTAAACCTGTCTTTTATGGCTTATCTCTTGAGCATCGATTTCTTAAGGAATAAAATTCCTTAAGAAATCGATGCTTATATATATATATATATATATATATATATATATATATATATATATATATATATATATATATAAAGGATTGCTCTTCTTGGAACATGCGCCACGAAATATAAAAATTTTAAGCAAAATAGAAAATACAACTGCACCTCGTTGCCTTACTTTATATGAAACCGACATATATATAGGAAAGTAAACCTACCTCGAAGCTTTTTGTGGAGTTTTATTCCATATAGGTCGACGTTTCGGCCTGTGCATATACATATATATATATATATATATATATATATATATATATATATATATATATATATATATATATATATATATATATATATATATATATATATATATATATATATATATATATATATATATATATATATATATATAGTTGTAGTTTCCGTAGCGTTCACATATGGCCCGAATATTTCGCGGGACGTATTTTTCGCGAATTGTAGGCGATTCGCGAAGTTCGAGAAAATTAAGTCCTCGCAAAAATGTTGTCGTTTACGGCATATATATACAGGGTGTTTCAGAGAACGCAGGCCAAATCGCTCCTGCGTAAACTACTCATCACAATGAAAAAAGGCTTGGGGCGTTGTGGTCCTGGGCCAGGGGCCTATTTAGGAAATGTTTTAAAGTCCGGGATAATTAACTTGTAATTATTTTTGCCTAATTAACTTTTTAATATTTTGTTTAAGGGCATGGTTTAAATTAGAAAATTGCTCAGCATTATCGAAAAACACTAAACCAACAATTTGCAGAACGATAGAAGGCACGCGAAGCATTTTACGGCTTTCTGAGAAACCGCACAAATTCGACGGGTTTTTGAGTTTCGGTTTCTTATCGGAGCGCATCTCGGCCCCAACAGCACCGCGCCCCGTGGAGAGACACTGTAAAACCCTTAATGTTCGCGAGCCCTCAATTTTCGCGAATTTCACGAATTGAAGAAGTCGCGAAATTTAAGGGCTCGCGAAAATTTCGGTCCTTAAGATTTTCAATGCAGGCTTCTGGAATTCGCGAAATTTAGTGGTCGCGACTATGTCATCTGTGACCGATTCGCGAAAAACAGGGGCCGCGAAAATAAAAGGTTTTACAGTAGTAAAACCAGACTCTGCTGCGTCGCGCGATGACAGCGCAGCAGAGGTTGGTTACAGTATCTCTTCGCGGGGCGCGGTGCCGTCGGGGCGGAGATGCGCTCCGATAACAAACCGAAACTTAAACACCCGTCGAATTTGTGCAGTTTTTCAGAAAGCCGTAAAATGCTTCGCGTGCCTTCTATCGTTCTGCAATTTGTTGATTTAGTGGTTTTCGATGATGCTGAGCGATTTTCTATTTTAAACCCTGCCCTTAAACAGAATATTAAAAAAGTTAATTACGCAAAAATAATTAACTAGTTAATTATGCGGGACTTTAATACTTTTCTTAAATGGACCCCTGGCCCAGGACCAAAACGCCACGAGCCTTTTTTCGTTGTGATAAGTAGTTTTTGCAGGAGAAATTTGGTCTGCGTTCTCTGACACACCCTGTATATATGGGCGGTTTCAGGTGCAGTTGTATTTTTTTTTTCAATTTTTTTATATTTTGTGTTGCATGTCCCAAGAAGAGCAATACTTTATATTTTAATGTCCTGAATGTTTAGTTTCTGAGAAAAAAAATATCAAAGGAGTGGGAAAGAACGACGACGTTTTAACGATTGTCGTGTGTTGCTCTTTGAATCACTCTCAATCTCAAAGTGTTCAAAATAGAGTGCCTATATTTTTCATTGTGATATATATGCAAGTAGGTAAGACGACATTATAACTACTACTTCTTATTCGACGCTCCAATCTTTGTAAAAATTCCCAAACATGCATCCGCGAACAACTGTGACCAAAACTGCGGATTATTTTTTTAGTCGACTATGTGTTGTTTTGTTTTTAAATTAATACCACGTGTAGAACCTTTCATTGCCTTCCAAATTATGTAAAATTTGTGTCTTCATCACGTATGAGTACTGAGAAATAATTTATGAAGCAAAGAATGTTTTCACTTTTTGTTCAATTTCAACACGCTGTAAAAGAAAAATATTTGTTTTTTTTTTTCTTCCGTCGCGTTTTTTTTTTTTGCACCCTTCTGTTAGCCAGCATACTTTCTGTTAGATGTGTAGGCACTAGTTTTGAGTTTTAAGCCTCTAAATATGCAAAAAAATATTCTTTATTATAATTATCTAAGGGACGATGAATATATATTGATATAAAAGGCATTAATGCCGTTAGGCGTATAATACAAGTTTTCAATTCCAAACGTCTAAACACTAAAAATCGCAACTGCCGAAAGCGGGTTTTCAAACAATTTCCGCCTGTGCATGATTGGAGAGGCCTCAAGCCTGAACTGCTGCATAATGTATACTACGTTAGAAATACCAAAGTATAATATTGTAAAACATTAGAGTCAAATACGCTTCCTATTGGAAAACTGAATTTTTAAATGCGAAGTTTTATATTTTTTAATGCGAAATTCATGTAACTAACAGAACAGAATAATTTTTAGCATATTTAGAGGCTTAAAACTCAGAAACAGTGCATACATCTCTAATGGAATGCATTCTGGGTAAAAGAAAAGTGTGAAGAAAACCCGAAAAAAAAAATTAAAGTGTGTTCTTTTTTTTCTTTTTTTTTTTTTTTACAGCGTGTTTAAATTGAACGAAAAGTGAGAACCTTCTCTGTTTCGTAATGTTTGGGGATTTTTACAAAGATTGGAGCGACGAATAATAAATGGTAGTTATAATGTCGTCTCACCTACTTGCATATATATCACACCAAAAAAATATAGACGCTCTCTTTTGATTACTTTGAGATTAAGAGTGATCCAAAAACGCCACACACGACAATCGTCAAAACCTTGTCGTTCTTTCCCGCTTGTTTGAGATGTTTTTCTCAGAAACTAAACAAGTCAGGACATTAAAACTTTTAAAAAGAGTGTTCTTCTTGGAACATCCGCCACGAAATATACAAATTTGAAGCAAAATGAAAAACAAATACGACTGCATCTCCTCGCCTGATTCCCAATGAAACCGCCTATACTATATATATATATATACATACACACACACACTTCCTGACGAAGGCCAGACTGCGGCCCAAAACGTCGAAGAATAATCCCTCCGTTGTTGCTGTTTTTATTACGGGTTTTCTTTTCTTTTCAGTTAAATATATATATATATATATATATCTATAGATATATATATATCGGGGAAGGGTGCCAGGAGGCCGAAGGCCTGGGTATATAACTGAAAAGAAAAAACCCTTGGTAAAAACAGCAACAACGGACGATTTATTCTTCGACGTTTCGGCCGGAGTCGGGCCTTTGTATATATGTGGGTGGTTTCATTTTAATTCAAACAACCTTGTCGGGGGAAGGGGGTCTTTAGATTGTTTTGAAACAAATATACCTAATAGCTCTGTGTCTGCGCAAACCAAAATGACCCTTCAAAAAAAAGTAGGCTGTTTAATAAAAAAATAAATCTGAAGTGGCACACGTCAAGAATTTAATTCTAATATATGTCGAATTTTTTTATTTGTTATAAATTATTTAACTTACTTATGCTGGTAACATTTTATGTAAATGACGAAATCGCAGGCCATGTTCTAGAAGCTTTGAAACCCCTATGTGTGCGATAGTTTTTTTTAAGCCCATTTTGCTTTAAATTCGGATTGATGTAACCGACTACAATTAACACCAGCGACATAAAAAGAATATCGACGCGTATTGATTAACATCAGCTGCCTGATGATGTGCGTGTGCTATTTATAAACAAATTTATATTTGGTTCCGGATTTGTTAAACACCTTAAATTTTCAAACTTTTAATTTCAATTTTTACAAAAAGAATTTTTTTTTTATTTTGTTGAAGTTATTTTATAGATCTCCACTAATACGAGTAACAATGGGGCAAACCTGATGGTTAACGTTTTCTGTTGTATTCTTGGGGCACCCAGCTATATAAGCCTATTTTATGACATTTCTGAAATTGTGTTTCCAACATTGTTGCTTCACCACAAGGCAGCGGAGTCCGAAAATAACGTTTCAACTA